AAACCATGGCAAAACTATATTAAATCTTATCAAAAATCCTGTTGAAACTATGCCAAAATGGCGAAACCTCAAAATGCGAAACTCTGCCAAAACAATTCATGTGTAACCTGCCGAAACCCTGCTGATTGATTTCTGGAGGAGTTTCAACAAGCAACCTTAACTGTGACCATGCATGCACAAATTAACTTTTAAGGAACCAATTTAAAGAAGCCATGCCATGTAACTTATTTATTATTATCTGGCTGGAGGAGCTGTCCAACTTACAGCTTAACAAGAGTTTATATATGTGTTTCCAACTTATCAAGAGATTTTTAAATATAAAAAAGGGCTGGAAATTTTTGTCTGAGTTGAGCCAAATCTGACTCATTGGGTGTCCAACTTTATCAAGTTTGCCTATGTATAAAGTATTCATAATGTTATGATCATACTGTACTGAATTTCAGGGATCAAACAAAATCAGTGCATATGATATGTTGATTATCTCTGCAATTTTATAATAGATTTCTACACATGATCAGCAAAACACAAATTAATAATGTTATTATTATATAAAGATAATAACTTCTCCCAATTATCTTTGGATGTCAAATATGCAGCATAGTGGTGGACATTTGATTTCACTGACTAAATTTTGCAACGATTTATCCCATTTTCAGATATCACTCAAAAATTAAATTTAGCATAGTGGAAATTTGAAACGTTACATTAATTTTTTATATTGTGCGACGTAACTTTACAATACACAACAAACATTCTGGCAATAAAAAGTAAGTTATAAACTGAATTTGAATTGGATCTGAACTTGATCTCCATTTTAGAGATTCTTTTCAAAACAAAATGGTCAGGCTTTGTATTATTTGCAATAAGGAAAAGGCAATTGTTAAAAGACCAAAAACAGGGCAACAAGCGTGCAAAGAGTGTTTTTATTATGTATTTGAAACAGAGGTGCATAATACAATTACAGACAATAAATTATTTAAGAAGGGTGATAAAGTTGCAATTGCAGCCTCAGGAGGAAAAGGTAATAATAATAAATCAATTATATGTTTGTTTGGTAGTTTTAATTAATAAAAACTTCAATTTTTTATAAACGTAATCTAAAAATATATATATATATTATCGTATAATTAGATTCCACAGTGTTAGCTTATGTTTTAAAACTTTTGAATGAAAGATATAATTATGATTTAGATTTATTCCTTTTATCAGTTGATGAGGGAATAACAGGTTATCGAGACGATTCTTTAGAAGTAATACTATACTATTACTATTACTACTAGATATTGGATTATTGAGTCAAACAATTGGTTATTGATGAGTTAATTTAATTGCTTTAGACGGTAAAAAGAAATCAAGAGCAATATGAACTTCCACTAAAAATAGTTTCATATAGTGAGTTATATGGATGGAGTATGGATCAAATAGTTAAAGAGGTTGGATTAAAGAATAATTGTATGAAATTCAATAAATTAACAATCTTGAAGATTTTTTTTTCTGGATCTGATGTCAACCAACAAACTAATCAAATCAAATAATTTGCATCTGTATTCATAAATATATCAGGTACATTTTGTGGTGTATTTAGACGTCAAGCTTTAGATCGTGGAGCTGCACTATTGAAAGTTGATCATGTAGTAACAGGACATAATGCAGACGATATTGCAGAAACAGTTTTGATGAACAGTAAGTAATCCAAAATTCCTTTTTAAAAATATAAAAATATGCAATTATTATTAATTGCTAATTGTTGTTTGTTGTTTGCTGCTTGTTAGTATTGAGAGGTGATATTGCCAGGCTTCAAAGATGCACAGAAATATGTACAACTGGAGAAGATTGTATAAGAAGATCCAAGCCATTTAAATATACATATGAAAAAGAGATAGTCATGTAATTAATTGCATTTGATTTTTAAAAAA